CCCCAAAACCCCAAAACCCCAAAACCCCAAAACCCCTTAAAATAAATAAACATTGTTAAATAAATGGCAATTGCGAATAAATTTATGTACTCCCCAAAAAGAGATACATTAAATTCATCTCAAAGGATTCATCCGAGATCTATATTAAAGACACCAAATAGCAAAGCAGAGTATAAAATTTGTATTGAATTCTATTTAGGCAGCATTTCAAGAGCTTTGGTTCTCCTATTAATCAGAAAACTGAAGAAGGCTTTTCCTCAACAAGGTATGGTACAGAAGCTTCAAGAAGACACAACTCAGAGTTCAAAGAAAGCTACCAGAACCTTATAACTAAGAATCTTCAAAAATAGCTCGAGTATAAATTTTACAAAATGTAAATTACAAAATTCATCATCTCTAACCAGAGGAGATCAAAGAAGTAATAATCAGATTGATCCTCCTTGAATTGAAGCAAGGCTAAATAATCTACGCTCTCAATCTCTTCAGTGATATGAGCAGAGAAAAGGTATAAAAAGCCCGTATCAAGATGGAGCTAAGAATTTAAGATATTCCTCTCAAAATCAAGTCTCAAATATTGTTTTCTATGACCAGACTACTAATCTGAGCTTGAAGAAAAGTGAAATGTATACGACGACCAACCAGAGAGAATATTCATCCCCTAAAAAGAAATGAAAAGTTATGAAAAGCCATACTTTAAACCCTAGAGAAGATATTGGTTATTTTAATCCATCTTCTATTATGATTAACAAGCATAACAAGCACTCAACAATAAAGCCTACTAAACAAAAGATATCAATAAAGAAAACAATTGATCCATCGGTCTGTAGCGAAAAGCCACCAGTGATTCCAAGAGAGAGCAATATTTGAGATAAATCATTAGGGAAACCCCCAATTCATAACTGAAGAAATAAAAATAAAACAGGCAATAAATGAACTAAAAGACAAAAACCCTCAAGTCCAATCCAAAAATATACTGGAAGGGCTGATACTATCTCAAGAGGTAGTTGCCTGACTTCTGGCAGTAATCACGATACTGGATCAGTCTGAAGCTACAGATCATACAAAAGTAATCACCTATCTTCAGTTTCCAGAGAAAGAGGGAAGAACAAGCAATTATCAGACAGAAATTATGAGGTTTGTAAACAAAGTAACTACTCCAAAAGTGATGTAATGAGTGTTGGATCATTGTCTCGGAAGAAAGAAAACTTTAACAAAACTGTCAAGTTTGAATATGTTGGGGGTAAAAATAAGAAGAGAAAGCACCATTTGCTAAATAGAGTTAGAGGATGAAAATAAAGAATCAAAACTCACTAAAAATCAAAAGAAAACAATCCAGAAACCTGATCATTTTGTCGATCTATTCACTGGAGACCAAGCCAAAACAGTCCATGAGAAAAGATCTAAGGTGAATGAATGCTTGAAGGAAAAGATTATGAGTAAGTCGTATTTAATTTTGTAGACAGCATGATGTCAAGTAACATTTATCATATTAATTCTAAATAAGGAATTCCTTCAAAGGCATTATCTGAGTAAATCTATATAATTACAATAGAGAGCAATCAAATTAATACAAACGGGGTTTCTCTTCCTATGAAGCATAATACTCCTAACAAATAATGAGATTAAGAGAAAAATGAATAAAGCTCTCACTCAGCAGATGGAGTATAAAAGGCTTCAAAAAGATAATGAAATCATGCAGAAATATCATCAAGAAATTGAGCATAATAACAATCATCAAGCAGAAATAGACCAAGAAAAGATGATAATAATACAAAAGAAAACTCAACAAAGAGAGGAGCTTCGCAAAGAAATGGAAAGAGTTCTTGAAATGAAGAGAATTCAAAAATTGCAAGCCCATGAACAAGAGTACCAGAACTGCTTATAATCTTCAATATTTTGTTAAAAATAAGGGGTTTTGGGGTTTTGGGGTTTTGGGGTTTTGGGGTTTTGGGGTTTTGGGG